TGCTCGGCCTGGGGGGTTTTCCCCTGCGTCTGCCCGGAGAGGGCCCACGCCCCCTCCTTCCCGGCCTGCTGGGGCCAGGAGCCTTCGCCCGCTCGGTGTAAAGCTGCTCGCTGCTTTAGGCGGACAGACAGTTGTGCTGCGGATGTGTTCCTCTTACTATACGTTCTGGCATCCCCTCCTTTGGCATCTCATTCTTGCGGGGACCTGTGTTTGAATACCACAAGACAGTTTTGGAGTATGTATTTTCCCAGTGCTTTCCGTCATGAAAACTGAGTCAGGGTGTGTGGTTACTTTTAATACTTATAATCCTTTTTAATTGCACTTTTTGTAGACCTACTTTTGTGTGTTTCCTACTTCTGGTACGTTTCATGATTTTCTTCTCTTTCTAATTTCTTTCTTAAACATAATTTTTGATTGGCTACTCTATATCGTTTTTCTAAAGCACTCTCAGTCCTTGGAACTTCGTGACCGAGCACGTTGCCTCCCTGTTTCCCCAGGCCCTTTGGGGATGCACGGTGACTTGCTGCACATCCAACTTCAGCACCCTCCTTCTGAGGTCGTGTGGAGACTCTTGAGCTTCTGAAGTTATGCTTTCGTTGATCAAAGTGGTGCTTTAGTGTCAGATAAAGACCCTCGAGGATAAAGGGAGAGAATTCTGAAATAAGCAAGAGAAGGAGGTCCCTTTTTGGGAAACAGGAACAAGTTTTACATGTTTGTTGCTACGTGTTAGTGCTTTTTTGCGTATTTGAAGGACTCCTTCCAAGCAGTAGTATAGGTGTGAGCTTTCTGTTTATCTTCTATTTAGACATCTAGTTGAAGATAAAACTGATGGAGTGCTTTACATCTTTCTGTACTTCAACTGCCTTTAATAACTATTTGTACTGCTGTCATGTTGCAGATGTTAAGATAACACTGTTGCTCTTAAAATACTTGGTGAATGCAGAGTGATGCTAGAATGATACTGTACAATGGTTAGAAAACTGATTTCTGTAACAGCTGCAAAAATAATGTTGCAGAGTACCATTTTTTAAATTTTATTTTTCTGTTTAATCGGTCAAGTTGTGTGTACCTTCATTATTGATATATTTCTTACTTATCTCTTAGGTTTACAAAAGATACTGCCAGGTTCAAGGATGAATTAGATATTATGAAGTTCATTTGCAAAGATTTTTGGACAACTGTATTCAAAAAACAAATAGATAACCTAAGGACTAATCATCAGGTACTAATGCTGTAGAATAAGATTTAACTTACAAAATCAGTAGCAGTTTTGAGTTACTAGCGCATTTTTTGTTTTTCTTGGTCTAGAATTAATTACCTGATAAGAAATCCAAAATGTTCTTTGTTTTGTTTAAAAAGCAGCATTTTAAAGTTCATGTTAGCATGTAGCTTCAGAATACAATTTAATGATTGCTTGTGATGTGTTTATTGCCACCCTGTTTGAAAAGACTAAATGCTTTGAATTTCATATGCGCTGTTGCAGAGTTGCAAACTGACAGAACAGTAACAGTTACAGTTGATTAACACTTACACAGGACCTTTTTTATGTATCTCCCAATAAATTTTAGTAGAAAAGTAGTGTGAGAAAGTGATATTGCTGTCTTAACATCCATTTAAATAGAGTGGGTGCCTTGAAGTAATTTTTTTATTTTGAAGAATATTTGCAGTTTTCAACAATTGAGACACTTAGCTGCACTCTACTGAACATACTTGTGTAAGGAACAGCTGGAAAACTTCCCAAATTTGCATGTTGGTGACATTGCATTGTATCTATGTCCTTTCCTATATCAACAGCCACAATTCTTAAAGCAAGATCAAAATAATTTAAGAAGCCATTTTACTACAGTAAAAAATCTTTTTCCTTTTGAATGAATTGGTTTTCTTATGATCATTTTCCTGTTGTATCAAAGTAGGAGCAAGAGACTTTGTACAAGGATTGTGCCAAATAAAATAGGTTTTATTTTTCAGTGAGCTGTTTATCAAGTAGTAACTTTAGCAGATAATAATTACCTGAGAAATCTGTTTTTGAATTCAAAGAAAGCTGCAGTATTGGCCTTAGGTCTCAATTGTATATGCAGCCTTAATTTAATTTCAAGGGTTATGAAGTTCCAAAGTAGCACAGTCATTAGCAAAGAAATTAAAATGACAGGTGTAGATTAAGCTATACTGTGTTCATACTTAATTTATTAAAATGCATATTGTGGCACAAAATTGTAATGTAGAAAACACTAGACTTCTAATTTGATCATCTGCTGGGTGTTGTTGCTTCTATTCCTATTAAAGAAGATAATTGTCACTGGATTTCAGAATAAGAATAGTAAATTGCATACCAAATGAAGATTAAGATTTGAATGTAAAAGTGAGCATGCATTTGAGATACTAACAAAGACTTTCTAATATGGAACTATTGTTTCTGAACAATGGAAGGACTCTTCCAAGAAGAATGTATATAAACATTTTTTAGGGTTAACTGATCATATTATTTTCTAGGAGTTTTGTTGTAAACTCACAATTAAATATCTTTTCTTTTGTTTTGGTATTTCATGTAAGTAAATAATACTATTTAAACTTAAATCACATATGCCTTAATCTAAAATTTCATTTTTCAACCTGAGAACATTTATGTTTTATCTACAAATCAAATCCCTTCACATAAAATGTTGATTATGTGTTACTGCATATTCAACTAAAAAACCTTTTTCTTTTTAAACAGGGTATTTATGTCCTTCAGGACAATAAATTTCGTCTCTTGACACAAATGTCTGCAGGAAAGCAGTATTTAGAACATGCACCAAAGGTACCCTTCAGTTTTATCCTTGGGATCTACCAGTTGGATTTGAATTATCTTGATCTATTAATAATAACTTTAGATTTTGTAATTGAATGGATACAAACTCTTCAAAAGGGCAGCTAAAGTTTAGTCTCCCAGTGCTTTTTAGAAATGCACCTTGTTTTGGAACAGTGGATTTGATTTATGGTTCAAGAAATGGTCATAGTCGTTGTGAAACTTGCTGTTGTCATGTTTGAGTTTCTTGATGGTCGGAGCTGGTCTGCTGCTATCACACAAATTCTTTCTTTCTCTTTGGAAAGCATCTGCTTTCAGAAGCTTTTTTAAAATGTCCAAAACATATTTGGAAGATGCTATTTGTAACCTAGAACAAGCTTCTGAGATTATATGAACATTCAGGAGGATCTTCCACCAATTAAAAATAGTTTTGAGTGTAGATGCTGAGTTAGCGTAATAGTTTAGGTAAGTAAAATCAGTGCCTCTGCAGAACCTCTCATAAAGCACTTTGGTTCAGGTGGATGTAAGAAATGGGGCATTCAGTTCCATTTCATGGTTTCTTAATTCTTGATCTTCTTAGTCATCACAGTTGCAGGCTGCTGTCCTTGGGATTTTTTTTGGTGTTTGGTGAGATGTTTCTTCTGTTTTGAAAGATATATTCTAAATATCTGCAGGCCCTTGTATTTTAAGATGTGGCCTGTGCAAGAATGCTATCTTGGACTGTTTCTCCTTTGTTGGCTTTAATACCAGTTGCTATTTTCAGCCAGGTCTTGGGAATAATTGTTTTAAGGATATTAAGTTCCTACAGGTTTAATGGAAGTAGAAACAAGTGACTCAAGATAGAGAAATCTGTATTGTGAGCTCCACTGTACCAAATATTGGAGCTTTTATCTATTAGAGACATGACGAAGTCTCTCAAGCACGGTAACAAAATCTTCATAGTTTTATATTGCCCAAGTGTCAAGTCTGGTTCTTGAGTACTTAGTTTCAGTCTTTAGCAACAAGCTTCACTCTTGATACTTATTTAAAGTGCAACTTTGTATTTAGTATTTAGCATTTACCTGTGGACTAATCAGAGGAGGCCTATCGAATTTGGGAATAAAGAGCATTGTAACAGCTGAAGTTTCATCAATGCCTGCATGTAAGTATGTCGTGGTTTA